TCAACCTTCAGGTTCATGAAAAAAATAAATCATTACCGAATTGCTTGAATATATAATTTGATTCTTGATTAAAAAAATAAATGAGTGGTTTTTTTTTTAAAGTGTCCATTGGCTAAATTCAACTTGAAAACATTTGCCACTCCTTCAAATGCTAACAGTTATTTGAACAATTCATCTCCCCTACCTCTCATCCCATTCCCTTTCTCTCAGTCCAGGTAACAGGAAAATGGAAAAAGTGATTTTTCTTCCAAATGCTTTCTCAGTTTCTCCAATTGCCACCTCTGATCAAAAATATTTGAAGATAGGCAAAAATGAGTATAAACAGAATTCGTTTGCCCATTGGCCTCCCCGCTCCCTTGAGCGCGCCAGGGGCGGGGGCGGTGCGGAGAGGGGGCAGGGAGAGGAGGAAAGATTCGTGCAGGCGGACGCGGGGGCAGGTGTCTGTGACGTCTCCGCTAGCCAGGCTCTCGCAGCCTCATCCTTGACAGCCGCACCCGGGCTTTCCAGCTGCAGGCAGCCACCCGACGGGGCCAGGAGCGAGGATGGAGAGGCTGGTGAGCGGGGCCGGGCCGGAGGGAGCGGGCCGGGCGATGCCGAGCGGGGCCCTGGGCGGCGGGCGGAAGGCGCGGAGCTTGGGGGCTCGGCTCGCCGCAGTCTAGTCCGGAGCTTGTCATGGTGCTGATGGCAGCGCTTCTCTCTCGGCGCTTTGCCTCCCCGAGAAGCGGATTTTGCCTTCCAAAGGGTGGTTTACAGCCCGTTCCTGGCGTCCTGGTTCAACGTCCCAATTACCCCGAAAAAGGATGCTACTCGCTGGGCCCCGGAGTCGCTTTCTCTGCGCTGGCGGCGGGCTCGGCTCACCAGCTCCAGCTCCCGAGGGGAGAAAAGCACAACCTATTTTAACCTGCCCCGAGAAGGGAATGACGATGCTGAATTGGCTCCGTGTGGGCACCAGAAGCTGCGGTGGGGATGCGGAATTCCAGGCTCGCTCCCTGCTGGAGAGCTCCTTCGTCCTCTCTTTGATGCGCAGCCTCTTCCTCCCTCCTAGCCCTTGCCTAGGGAAGCCATGAAGGGGAAGAGAAAGCTCGGCATCGCTTTAGAGAGAATTGAAATGCTCTGTGGTCATGATTCCTTGAAGGGTGAAGACCCAGGGTATCCAGAGAGACAGACATTCTGTTTATTGAGATCCGTTTAGATGACAAAAAAACGAAGGGAGGGCTTTCATATACCCCATTGGTATAATTAGATAACAATCCAAATACAGTTAGTGCCTGAAGATAATTTTTTCATATATATTGTCGTTTGTTGGCAAGACCACACAGCCAGTGATTTCACTATCTTTCTAAACAAAGGAGAATGGTGGCCTGCGAGCTAGTGTCTACTGCGGGCTACATGCTCTTAATCTTCACAGCTATCCTTCCAGCAAGGAACCATTTTACCTGATTTTACAAATAAAGAAACAGGAGGAGAGGTTAATTTTTCCAAGTCCATGTGACTGCATGTGGTGCAATCAGGATTTGGACTTAGAAATGTGTAGAGAAAGAGGTATGTATAGGGTTAATATAGCTGCCAGGTGGGTGGTTATCAAGTAAGACCTAGGCGGGTGTGAACCCTGGCCTGCTTAGCAAGGATTATAAGTGGACGTCTTTGTTTTCATGATTGCACTGTCCGTGTATGGCTTGATTAATTTTTTTCATTAATATTGGCATTTACTCTAGCCTAGGCACTGTACAAAGTGCTTTAAATGCTCGATACTCATAATAACCCTATGAGATAACAGTAACATTTATTTAGTGCAAATTTGTATCATCATTATTCTGGGAGCTTTACATATACTATTTCGTTTGGTTTTTTTAACCATGAGGTTGGTAGGGTTATTTTTCCTGAGTCTCAGAGAGGTAAAATGGTTTGTTCTAGCTCGGATATCTTAGCATTCGTTTTAGTCCAGGTCTCCTCCCTGTAAATATAAATGCTGTTGTTTTCAGATTGGTAGTACTTTCAGTTATTCTGTATGGACTAGAGGGAAAAAAAACTGTATAAAATAAAAATACTTGTATATTTAAGAGCAAGGCTTTCCTTCTGATTCCCTTTGTCTCCATCACGTGTTTTTGTTTAATGTTGCCGGTTCCCAGTCCACAGACAGTATTGTGTTTGGGTATGCGTCTGCATTTTCTCTTAAAAACACAGATTTCCGCTGTGAAAGCCAATCCACTTGGCACTCCTCATCATAGCCTCTGCTAGGGCCTGGGATTCCATGTGAGAGAAAGAGAAAGAGAGGCGCTTAATGGTTTTTAAAGATGACATGGAATTAGAATGCCAATATCTGTCTCCACAATTGACTTAATTGAAAATAAAACAAAATGTGTTGGGCACTGACAGCAGAGCCTAAGGAAACATTTGGCTTGATTTTTTTTTTTCTGACTTTCCTATACAATTAGATAGGGTGGGGCAATCTCAATAATACTGAGAAAATTATCAGATTCTTCCTCAGGCACTTCAAACCCAAAGCATTTGTGAATGTGGTGCCTGGGAATGGGTGAGAGGAGGGGACAAGGTGAACAGATGTGGTGTCCAGACAGCTGAATCATCTTTGACTTCCTGAAGGACAGTGACTTTGTTGTTGGCCTTAGACCTGTGAAGACACGGAGAGAAGTCACTAGAAAGGCACATAGCATGCTCAGGGTGTGCCTGGGTATTAAATAATAAAATACATGTGCAAGACAGCAAGGCACTCAGGCATGGGGTAATACTGGAAATGGGGCCCAGGGAGGTGAGACATGATCCCTTCCAGAACATCCATCCTGAAAGATCCACCAGGAACACTGTGACAGAGACTGTCCATCTCTGGCGGTTATAGTGGATGCTGGAGAAGAGCGCTTTTAGAACAGGCCAGTCTCTAGCATGATGCTAATGCCAGGCCTTCACCCAGACTGACAGCTCAGGTGCTAACACACACAACCACTTCCAGGGTATAAGTTGGCCCTGGGAGAGCTGAGACAAGACTGATTCCAATGTTCAATACCTCCTTGATCCCAAACCACAGACCCTGACGAGGACAACTGAGGATCCTCTCCTTACAGCTATACCCCTGGGTAGGAACACTGTCAGTGATTACAAGGTAATTTTCTACCCTTACCTGTGAAGGGACTTGGTCAGTAACTTCTCTTGCTAAAGGAAAAATGAAGCTGATGTAATGAAATCAATTGTTTGTGAAACACCTGTTGTTTTAAACTGGCTTGGCCCTTCCTCTAACATTTCCCTCATTAGGTTAAGGTCACGGCTATTTCCCAAGTGAAGAAAAGGGTGTGCAGTAACCAGAATTAACAAATCCATAGAGTAGGAAGAAGGGAGGATATTAGAATTGGTGTGGTTCCCACAGGACCGGAAAAGGAAAGAGAAATCCTTGTGGTAAATAAAGGAGGAGAGATTTAGATCTTCAAAAACCCTATTCCCTCATCCCCTACTCCTATATCCACAGAAAGAAGGTTGTCATAAAACAATAGAAATCTCAGAGAAATTGAAGGACAAACAGAAAAATCCAGGTTAGAGTGTTGGGGAAAATGAACTATAGCAGGAAAGTCATTGTATCTAAAAAGAACAGCCAAAACAGGGCTTAGACAAGGCAAACATTGAGAATGAGCTGATGAGATTCCTACAGGTATAACACCATCCTTTGACAACCATCCTGACCCTATTATCTATAAGGACTAATTATACATGTCTGGGGAGAGGGAGAATATGAAGTCCTGGATGACTTGGGTGCCTGGGAGATAAAAGTTCAGAAAAGAAGCTGTTTTGGGTAAAACAATGATGACTTTGGTGTTATTCATAAATTTATTTATTCGCTCGTTCACTTTATTTATTCAACTGAGAGCCTTCTAGGCAGAAGGAAAACATAAATATAGGAACTGAAGCAAGAAAGAGCTTGATGATTTCAAGGCATTGAAAGGAGATGGTGCAGTGGAGCTTGGTGTGCAAAGAGGAGAGTATAGTGACGTGAGATTTGAGAGTGTGTTGAGCTGCAGAGAGTGGGAAATGGGGGCCTAGAACTCTGGTAAGACATTGGGTTGGGAGATCCTTTATTACTAGTATCATTTTTAGACTGTTACTCAGTGGCTTTCAGAGATTGCTTGGCTCTGTGGAAATCTCATTAAATGCTTCTAAAATACCAGCTTCAAAACTGAATTCAGCATATTCTTTCAGGGCAATGAAGCAGAGAATGCTGTGTGCCTGGCAATTTGGTAATTCCTCACAATAGTGATGTAATCACAGGCAGTAGCAGCATAATTTTATACTAATGTATCCAAATTTTAAAACCAACAATACTTTATACATAGAAGAGGCAAGATGGTGTAATAGTTATAATCTCTGAAGTTAGACTGCCTGGGTTTAATCCTGTCTCTATCACTTCATAGCTGTGTGACTTTGGACAAATTACTTAACATTTCTGTGCCTCATATTCTTCATTTTGAAAATGGTGATAATATAAAATTAAAGTCCTTAAATGGCATATTTCATAAAAGGAAAATGATAATAATAATGCATCCTTTATAGGATTGTATGAAATATTAGATGAAATAATTACGTCAAGTGCTAAGAACAGTTTCTGGTACATAATAAATGTTCAATAAATGTTAGTAGTTTAGTCATTTTATGCAAAATATTTGTTGGAGTATTATTTTGATATATTAACTGGTGTGGTTTTTTTATTCTAACAATTTATTTTTGTCCGCTGGCCTTTCAAATTAGACAGTCAAGGACCCACCACCTTGGAGGAGGAATACTACTTCAAAAAATCAGAAAAGACCTTTTTGCCTCAGAAGCCAAAGTTTTGCAATAGCAAGGGCCGAGGCATTTGAGTTTCAAAAGCCAAAATGCCAAAAGAGCAAAGACATAATGTTCATGCCAGAAAGAATTGGTTGGAAGAAAGCAAGGTGACAGAGGAGCCAGCTCTCCTGACCCTAGAGGAAATAATATTTTCTAGACTGGGAGAGCAAAAAGGGACTGACTGATGTCGATGCTTAGACACCAGTTTGCTTCCTGAAAAGAAGGCTCTGTGCCTGGTTACCTGAACTGGGGAGTTCAGGGGAGTGGAAAATAGAACCTGCAAGTTATTGTTGAGAAGCAAGAAAAGAAAGTACCTGTGCATCACTTCCCTGGGGAAGACTGTGGAAAGCAGTATTCTGTCCATCATGGCAAGGGAACTGTGAAACAGAGATGGACAGATACCTGGGAGTCTAGGCAGACAGCCTTGTAGACTTTCCTTTCACTCAGTACAGGCAGAACCTAGGGGCAGGCTGGGAGAACACAAAAGAACACCGGCTCACCTTGTATGCAGTAATTTCACAAACCGGTAACTGTGATGACTTGAGAGCAACACAGCCATCTTAGTGAATTTCAAGAGAATAGATGGTTGCAACCAATGATGAGTACTCCCATTCCCACGGCTTGACATTATGTAAGCTCCCAGGAATGTAGATGCAATGCCAGAGATTAGAACAATCATGGAGTCTGGGGGTGGTGGGAGACTGAATTAACAGAGATTATGCAGCATTGATTGAATTAAGTTTGTACGTCCAGTTGGAATGGTAACATGAAATAAAAATAAATCTCATTTAAAGAAAAATACAGAGAAGACATTTCTTACACACTTCTATTATAGAAAAATACAGGAATATAGGGAAAATATAGGGAACAGATAGATTTCTAGCCTGTGCCCCTTAGAATGAACATACATGTAGACCAAATCAACGGATACATGGTGCTACTGCAGAGAGAAGTTCAACTGTCTATACCCTGCCTGCTCATTTTATAGCAAGATGATGCCCAGAATAACATTCCCTTAAATATCACCAGGATTTGTAAGAAGGCCAAGAATTTATGCCCACATACATGAAATTCAAGGCAGTCGCATAATGTTTCCAAAAAGTGGTTACTCGTGAGTTACGCTTTAAATATTAACAGATGTGGAAATTTTGGGTAGTGAATGCAGTCTAACATTTGTATTCTCTGCCTTTTCTGCATTTATATAAGGCAGTTTGGTTTTCCCTAGTGATCCTATATCTTTGAGGCCTTGCTCTTGGCAATGGTGGCTTTAAGAGCAAGGTCCCAAATTGCTAGGGATTGCTACCATGAAGGAGCCACACTGCTGCTTTTGCCTCCCTATATCCTGAGCACACTGTTATTTCTTCCCTTTATAGCCTCTGGTTCTGCTCCCACAAAACCAAAGTTCTTTAGTGGGTAGAAACATACCTCGACATTCCCCGAAGCTTCCTTGGCTTTGTCCAAATCCAAACCCCCATTTCTGTACTCTGCTTTCTGTCTTTAGGTGTTCAGGAGGCCCTTCTGTCATCTGTCTACCTACAGCCTGATTTGGGGCATGGCAGCAGTGGTGCTGTGCGCAGCACAAGGTAAAGATGCTCACCTCCCCTGCTTGGAGTCCAGCAAACACAGCTTCTGGGGTAGAGACATTTGGCCACTATTGTTTGTGCTGTGCTGGTTCCATTTGTCTGCATGAATTATTCAAATATGTAATTTGCCTGGAGGAGTGGAGTGGTTTTTTTCATTTTGCACATTTTAGTTTTCAATGTAGAAGAACACTTTGGTATTTAGAAGCTGTTTCCATAGGTGAATCAGGCTTATGAAAAATATTCTAAGTTAAAATGCCATTTTTTTACCTATTAAATTGAGAGACTTTTTAGAATAATGATTCCCTGTGTTTGTAAGGATATGGGAATATGTGGGAGAGTATGAATGGATAACCTTTTTGGAAGGTTATTTGGCAGTAAAACCTTAAAATTTGGTGTATCCCCTTTTTACAGAAAAATGTAGAAAGTAATGAAATATAGAGGTTATGTAGGTTGACATTACCTGTTGTATAAAAAATGTGGCTGTCTCATCTACTTATCTGCTGGATTTCCTCGTTCTGCCTCCTCTGTCCCATGGGAGGCCATGCTCCTCACTTTGCAGGCTGAATGCTGTCGAAGAATGGATGGGCAGGCTTCATGCCTATCTGCCACCCTGGTCGGCAGTATCCACTGCAGTGTTCACTTGAACTGACTGGAGGAATCTAAATGGAATTCCATATCAGCAGCAAAGAATTGTAAACTTTCCATTAAATGATTTATTCCAAAGGCAAAAGGAAAAAAAATCATCCAAGAGTTGAACTCTAGTTTTGATCCCTTTTCCACTCCTCATTCTAAAAGCAACAATTTCTTCTAATCTTTTCCCTGCAAAATCTCAACAAACCTTAGGAAACCTCAACCTCAACAACAGGTATTGCCTCCCAAAACTTTTCACCTCTTCCAAGAGTACGCATCATTTAATCTCAAGTTATACAACACTCACGGGTTCCAGTTGGTGTTTGTTATGCCCATCTCTTCATCCCTGATACTGTGGGGAGCTGTTTGTTTGTGTAGTCTTCTGTTTTTTTTTATTTATATTTGCCAACATTTTATCTACATTATTTGTCTCGAAAATAAATTTTAGTGTTTCTAATCAAGTCTACATTTTGTGTACCATTTTATTAATTGGTGTTTTTATCTTTATTAATTCACTCCTATTTTGGGGAAAGGGAAGTAGAAGGTATGGAAGTAAGTATGGATTCGTTTTTCAATGTCTCTTGTTTCCTACTAAATGTAGTTAAAATTAAATATGTCCCTTTGAGAACTACGTTACCCATTTCCACAGATTTTAACATTTTATGCTGCCATTGCAGTTCAGTTATAATAATTTATGATTTATACTGAAATTGCTGGTATACCTAAGAGTTAAAAGAAGTGTATAAACTTCTAATTTTATTGCATTGTGGACAGTATTTACATCTATAGGGCAGAAACTTTTCTGCAGACTATTTTAAGTTCAGTTTTGGGGAATGTTATATGTGTGTTTTGAAAAGATTGTACATTCTCTCTTTGAGTAAAGTGTGTGTATATATATCAGTTCATAAATGTGCATATATATATATATACACATACATATATAAAGTATATTGGTATATATATAAACATATTACTTATTTATATTAAACATATAAAGTATATATAAAATATTTATTGTTTTCAAATTTTCTGTATCCTTATATATGACTTTTTTGCTAAGTTTTTAAATATATGGAGTTGAAGATTCTGAAAGAAGTATAGAAAACTCCCATTATGATTTGGGATTTATAAATTTTTCTTTTGAATTCTATTGATACTTTCAGAGATATGTTGTTAGGTGCATGAAAGTTCATGATTAACATATCTTATTTTAGATTGCTCCTTTTATCATTTTGAAAAATATTTTTTCCCCCTTACGGTGCTTTTGTCTTTTATTCTCTTTTTTCTCTCCTTTTAGAAGTCCAATTGGACTGATATTGAAACATTTAAATCTACTTGTTGAATTTTTCCTTAATCCTTTTTCTATTCTTATCCCTTTCTGCTACATTCTAAAAGAATCCCACGGCCTGATCTTCCTACTTACTAATTTACTCTTTATTAGTGTGGGATCCATTCTGCTAAGTCAGCCAATCTATTGAGCTTTTATATTTCTCACTTTCTACATCTCTAATTTCTACTATTTACAATGCTGACTATTATTATACTTAGGATATCACATTTATTGATGTCCAAGTGTTTATTGATTTATGATAGCTTTATTCATTTGGTATGAGTTCTTCAGTTTGTAAAGTTTATTGTTCCTCTTTCATTGTGTTAGCTTCCTCAAATGTTTGACTATTTGTTATTTATTATATTGAGATTTCCAATTAAATCATCTATCATATTATGAGTAGCTAGTATAGGAGTGGGGAAGAAATTATTATGATAGCATTTAATGAAAATGGGGAAAATGTGGATTGTCATTTGGATGTCAAAGCTTCAAGATCCTCTCTGGTACTGCCAGCCTCCCAGAGTATTGTCCTGTATATCTCACTCCCTTGTGTTCCTATACTCACTCCTGCTTCCTGAAGGCAGACACATCTGTACTGCCCCCTTCCTTTGTAGGATATGTGTGTATATGTGTGTGTGTATGGAGTGTATAGGACTGCTTCATCTTCCTTACTTAAATTGATCACTCTGCCTGTTGTCCTTTGACTCTTTCTTCTTCTTGGCTTCTACCTCTCCAAGTATGTAGATTCTTGGTGATGCTGCTGTCCTATTTGAGCTTCCATCTTCAATTTCATTCTACCTACTTTCAAGTTTACAGGGATTCTTCACAATTTCTTGTAACTGAGAGTTGGCTTTCTTGTTTTTCTACTCTGCCACTGTACTTTTAAAGATTGAACAAACATTCGAACCTATATTTCTCTAGCAAAATGTAGGAATGTAAATAAATGCTGTTTTCTTCTTTGCATTTTTCTGTATTTTTTAATATTTGGCTTTGAACATACATTGTATTTGTAATCAGGAAAAAGTGTGTTTGTGTGTGTATGTATTAAAATTTTTAAATAGCTGTGTTCTTTTGTGATTCCATAGTGGAAGTGGTGACCGAGGATCTAAGAGAGAGGCTGAACACACCTGCTTCCATAAGATGCTCTTTGAAAAGTTTCCAGGATGTCTTGGTTGTGACATGGCAGAAAAAGAAGGCTACAAGCCCAGAAAACATGGCCACCTTCAGTGAGCTCCATGGTGTTGTAGTCCAGCCTGCCTATAAGAACAGGATGAACATCACTGAGCTGGGACTCCAAAACTCAACTATCACCTTCTGGAATACCACCCTGGAGGATGAAGGGTGTTACATGTGTCTCTTCAATATCTTTGGTTATGGGAAGATCTCAGGAACAGCCTGCCTCACCCTCTATGGTGAGAGTCTCAGAATGTAATTGTGTCTGTCTGTAAATAACCATTTTCGAGAATGTTTGTTGTAGTGTCTAGTTTTTCAGGGTCCTAGTCACAGAAGTGCTCATGAGAAGACACTTAACCTTTCACGTTACTGTTATTTGGAGAGTTCATGGGGTTTCATTGAGTTCCTTGGCTGGAGATATGTTTTCTCTGAGGGATGGGCCTGTCAGCAAGAGTAAATTGAGGACAATGGTGAGGGAAAAAAGTTCTCCATAAGCAGTGATGTGATTCAAACCTGGCTTTGCCATCAGCAATAATATCACCCTAGAAAAATTCTATCCAGTCTCTGCACTGACGTTTCTTGGTCTGGACAATAAGTGTGAAATAAGTAGGGTTGGTCCCTTACAACTTTAACTTTTCAGATCTGAGGACAGAGTGAGATTGGGTTAACCCGGAGCCAGTTATGATGCTCCTTTTCATTTTGCATCAGGGTAGCTCTTTAATAAGGGCACACGCAGCAGAGGCTTTTCATACCTAAATGGTGCCAACTAGAAATATAATTGGATAATAAGCATTCTTTTAAAATTCAAGAGGCTTGGTTTGATGAGATTCCTTTCCTCTTAACTAACTCATAGCTTAGTGGGTAACTTTGGAGCATAACACACTTGGTGATGGTTTTAGGAGGGAGAAAACAAACTTAGACAGGGTTGTTAGGAATATTAAATTGTGTGTGTAAGCATGCCAAGAATTTTGCCCATGGGGGAAGAGGAGGCTTAGTAGATAAGAATGTAAGGGAGATATGACAACTCCAAAAGAAGTTTCTTTCACTTATTTTGTCTATGGTTTTTTTCTTGACATGAATTCTTTTATTCTCTCTGTGTCTGCCTGTCTTTCTTTCCCTACCTCCCCTTCCCTTTCTTTCTCTCTCTCTCCCTCCCTTCCTTCCTTCTTCCTATCTCGTTTTTCTCTTTTCCCTTCTTATGTCATATTTTTCTCATTTCTGTTCCTTTTTTCTTTTCCTCTTTTTCTTTCACCTTTCTTTCTCGTATTCTCCTTCCTTTTCCCATCATCTTGTGTATAATTTTTTTCCTGTAAACTAGACTCCCCTGAGCCTTCAGGCAAGTAATCCTGCTCTCTTCCACACTTCACCCTTTCCAGCCACACCTTATAGCTTTCATCTTAGCCATTCTTGGATACACCAGAGGACCTTGACACCCAGTCTGGCCACATCAACCATGTTCATCTTCCTTCACATCTCTCTCTCTTCCTTCAGTGCTCATTGCCTTTAGTAATCTGGACACTTTTTGGAAAGAGCCATAGTTCTATAGCTCTGCTTTCCCCAGCCTGCTGCCATCCACTTGCCTCTTGAACATAGCTGTAGGCACAGACCAGGCTTTCGTTAAGCATTGCCCTTTAATTATCTTGCGGGCTTCAAAGACAACCACAGAAAGACAAGTCTGCATTTGCTTTGCAGAGATAAACTTGAGGTTCCAACAAAAATGAACTTGTTAGTCAGGGGACTTTTAAAAGGAAACAGGCTACAGCTGGCCTGAAAATAATGTCTGTTTCTCATAAACTAGTTATTTTCTATTAACTCCATCAGGTGATCTCCAAGGCCCTTTCAACTGTCATGTGTTTAAATATTTTCTGGTTATTAGCTATGAATTTCTAATTTGCATTCTGTGTAGCTCTTCCGAAAAGGGATTTCTGAGTCTTCTCTATACATCACATTTACTGATCCAGCTCCAAGCAGGAAACAACTATCTCTTTGCAGCAGGCCCTATGGGTTCTCACTTCTGAAACTACCATGGTGCTTCTGATAGGTATAGGCTACCTGTGTAGAGGTGCTGGTTGAGGGTTATTGTCAAGCCATTTGAGAGGAATACTGAGAAGGAGGCAGAGATGCTGCATTGCCCGTGGAAGAGGAGAACAGAATAATTAGGCTTTGGACTGTTTGGGAGAGAAGATTATCATCTGACTTCTCAGTATCCTCTGTCCATCCAGCTAATTCTGCTAGAGACAAACTACAGAGAGGGTCTTTCTCATCACATGTTTATACTAGGCCAGTCTCCATCCTGCAAGTGAGAGAATTAGACAGAGGAAGAACTGGGAAGGCCTCGGTTTGGGTGGGATGTGCCAACTTATTTTTCTAGTCCCCACTGGCTTTTTATAATCATCTTTTCCTCATCTCTGTGAGGAGAATGCAGGATTCAGACCAGGTGTTTAACTGACAACAGATCCTATATTTTTTTTTTGTCCCAGTGCAGCCCACAGTATTCCTTCACTACAAATACTCTGAAGACCACCTAAATATCACTTGCTCTGCCACTGCCCGCCCAGCCCCTCTGGTCTCCTGGAAGGTCCGTGGATCAGGGATTGAAAATAGTACTGAGATTCTCTCTAACCCAAATGGGACCACATCTGTTACCAGCATCCTCCAGGTCAAAGACCCCAAGAGACAGGTGGGGAAGGAGGTGGTCTGCCAGGTGCTGCATCTGGGGACTGTGACCTACTTCAGACAAAGTGTGAGCAAAGGTAAGAGAAGGAGAGCAAAGATAGCTGTGATTGCATCTGTGTACACACACCTGGAAGGTGGTAAATGTCCCCCAGAAGCCTTCAGCCTCTTAACAAAGGAGCTTAGTGGGGAGAGATTGGGGTAAGCAAGGAAAGAAAAAGAGTGGAGGAAGCAAATAAAGCAAGTTTTATTTTGGTAAATGTGGTACATTGCCCACATACCAAATGTTGCTGAGATCCATTCATTCATGTATTTCTTCCATTCCACTAACATTTACTGAGTGTCTGTTATGTGCCAGACTTTGGACTGAACATGAAAATTACAATTAACAAGACTCAGTCCCTGCACTTAGAGAGCTTCTAGTCTCCTAGGGAACACAGAGAAGTGGCTGGGCAATTGTAAAACTACGTGTGTGTTAAATGCTTCAATAAGAAATCTATGGTGCACCATGGAAGGACTGAAGGTGGGGATGAGGGGCACGAGCTCAATCTAGGGGTGGGGGAAATTAGGGAGATTTCCTGGAAGAAGTGACATCTGTGATGAAAGTTTTATCTACAGTGTGGGGAAGGGGCCAATCTCAAGTGTTTTCATTAATCATTTTAAAACAAACTGCCTCCCATCTAGGTCTCCTTTTGTTCTCTTGTTTCTATCTAAACTACTGTATTTGGGCCTCCTAGATACAAGAGGTGAGAATTATGGGTGAAAGAATAGAGGAAGAGTGATTTTAGAGGCAAGATGTTTTAGTGAAAACAGCCAGTTTTATTTCTCTATGTAGTTTTTTTCTTTCTTTCTTTTTTTTTTTTTTTTTGAGACAGAGTCTCGCTTTGTTGCCCTGGCTAGAGTGAGTGCCATGGCTTCAGCCTAGCTCACAGCAACCTCAAACTCCTGGGCTCAAGCAATCCTTCTGCCTCAGCCTCCCAAGTAGCTGGGACTACAGGCATGTGCCACCATGCCCGGCTAATTTTTTTTATATATATTTTTAGTTGTCCAGATAATTTCTTTCTATTTATAGTAGAGACGGGGTCTCGCTCTTGCTCAGGCTGGTCTCGAACTCCTGAGCTCAAACAAACCGCCCGCCTCAGCCTCCCAGAGTGCTAGGATTACAGGCGTGAGCCACCGCACCCGCCTCTCTTTGTAGTTTTGAAACACTAACTCTGGATGAAGCACTCAGTGATAAGCCTCCTAAAAACTATTACTGCTCTTTTTGGGGAGCATTTCCAACAATAAAACCTGGAAAAGCTTTCCTACATGCCTCATTGGTGCAGTGGCTTCTAAGGAACGTCTCCTATTGGCATTTGGGGTCTCTGAAAACCCAGACTAATCAGAAAGTGGATATTTAGGTAAATTTGGTCAAAAAGGCTTGCAGTGTTGGATTTCGAAATCTGTGAAGAGAACTGCAGATCTAGCCAGGGCAAAAGGTACATTTCCCTGAAAAACAAAAATCTGAAAAAGAACATGTCTTCTTTTCCAAGAATGCCAAATTTGGTATATATCACTTATACTGTTTATGTTCCATTTGTATAATGTTTATTCATTCAGTGAACATGTACTAAAAATCTTCCAAGCTGAAAGTATTATGTCGAGCCCTGGAATTGTAGAAATTAGACAAATCCCTGTCTGGAGGTGCTTGGTTAATTGTGATGTGACAAATCCCACCACGGAGGTATGGAGTAGATGCCAGAGACTCCCAAATCAAGGTGCTCTTCCCCTGCCTTTCTATTGCGAAGAAACATCAAGGAGCTGATATTTGGGCTGAGTTGTATTTATTGACTACTGAAACTAGATGCAATAACAAAGGCATAGATTAGAAGAAATTCAATAAAAAACATTGAGATGAGTTATTTTTAGGGGTTGAGATCATGAGATTCGTGGTTTTCTCCTTTATACTTCTCTGTATTTTCCATAATTGCCTCAATAAACAACGGACAGTATGGCAAAGAATTTTGTGTTTTGGAGGCAAACAGACTTTTGGCCAAGCCTCGGCTCTCCCATTATCTTACTTAACTTTTTCTAGCCTCGATTTTTTTAAAATCTATTAGATAATAACAATACCTAACTACTGGGATGTTTTAAGGATTTAATGAGATAACACATTTAAAGCTGGTATTATGTAGTAGCCAGATACAACATGCTAGCTATTACTGACATATAAATGTTATTAACATAATATGAAGTCATGAATATAGACCTCTGTATGTATGTATTTAAAGATAATTTTAATTGAGAGCTCAACTCTAGTAAAGGCTCATCAGAAATATAGCTTTATCACTTTTTGCCTCAACAACATCCTCTTGTGATTTCATTTTCCTTTTTCTTTCTTCAATATCCATAGGCTATTGGTTTTCAGTTCCGCTATTGCTAAGCATCGTCTCCCTGGTAATTCTTCTGGTCTTAATCTCAATCTTATTATACTGGAAACGTCACCGGAATCAGGACCGAGGTGAGTCATCACAGAGAATACAAAGAATGATACGAGTTAAAAGCTATTTTTAAATTTTTTTTATTTCAGTATATTACGGGGGTACAAATGTTTAGGTTACATATATTTCCCCTGGCCCATCCTAGTCAGAGCTTCAAGCATGTCCATCCCCTAGACAGTGTGCACTGCACTCATTACATATGTATGTACCCGTCCCCTCCTCCCCACTCCCATCTGCCCGACATCCGATGAATGTTATTACTATATATGCACTTAAATGTTGATCAGTTAATACCAATTTAATGGTGAGCACATGTAGTGCTTGTTTTTCCATTCTTGTGACACTTCGCTTAATAGAATGGGCTCCAGCTCTATCCAGGAAAATACAAGAGGTGCTATATCACCATTGCTTTTTGTGGCTGAGTAGAACTCCATGGTATATATATGCCATATCTTATTGATCCACTCATGTATGGATGGGCACTTGGGTTGTTTCCACATCTTTGCAATTGTGCATTGTGCTGCTATAAACATTCTAGTGCAGATGTCTTTTTTATAGAATGTCTTTTTTTCCTTTGGGTAGCTGCCCAGTAATGGCATTGCTGGATCAAGTGGTAGTTCTACTTGTATCTCTTTAAGGTATCTCCATATTGCTTTTCACAGAGGTTGTACTAGTTTGCAGTCCCACCAGCAGTGTGAGTGCTCCTATCTCTCTGCATCCACGCCAACATTTATTGTTTTGGAACTTTTTGATAAAGGTTAATTGATTTTTAAATAACAATTTGTGGGTTTTTTGAAGATATAAATAAGGGAATGACAGCAGTATGTTTTGTTTGCTGTTTCCAAAATACATAAATATTGATGATGTTTTAAAATGCTTCAGGGTCATTTTCTTACAATTGGACATTATTGCTTTCCATTTACTAAGATGGTTTAGATGCGAATTATTTTATAAGTCGAGAATAAGGGTTAATGAGAAGAAATGAGGAAAATGTTTAATCACAATGGAATCATTTGATTGCAGAACCAAAGAAAGAAGTCTGGCAGCCATGCAGAGTCCTCTCCATCCATTAATGAGAAAGAAAACCTCTTTTCTTTTTATAGCCCTCCACAAGCCATCTGCCCATTTAAGAGGCTGCAAAATTGTCCAATGATGATCATGCTTTAAGTAACACTTTCTATGTTATACTCCCATGTCTCAAGCACTCTAGGCAACATGCAGGTGATCCATTCCTATAGTAACTGTGTCATGTCATTCTGCCCTTCTAGACTGTAAATTTCTCTTTATCCCCCACAGCATCTCTATATACCAGGTGCTCAATAAATGTTAATTTATTGAATGAAGGAAGGAAGGAAGGAAGGAAGGATAGATTTTTCATAGTGGTTTTTTTTCAATTCTCTTTCTCCAATTGTAAATTCAGTACCTCATAAATGCAAGTCTAAGATATTGTGAGGCATAATAAAACAAGAAACACTATAAAATAAGAGGAGTGAGCTATACATAGAGAATTGAATTTCTTGAGTTTCTGAAGACAGTGCACAATTTGCTAAAGCAACACAAAGCTTCAGTTTACTTTATGTGTAATGGGAGTTTCCTCCATCTGAAGGATAGGTGTCAGGGAAGAAAAAGTTGGCTTTGGTTGTTATTTTGAATTTTGATTAAAAATATCACTCAAATGCCACCTTTTTTTTTCTTTTGTTTTATGTTTTATAGACTATATCTTTCATATTTTAAGTTTTTGGACCACTTTATTTTGCACAAGCCTCATCTAAACACCAGATTAATTCTTGTGAATTTATAAAACAAGTAACAAATCTTTGGTGTCAGTGGACTTTTTGCAAAAGAAGGTAAAGGTAATTGCTCTGTCCAGGAGAGGAGATTACAGATCAGATAATCTTACTGCACATAAACATAAACCCATAGAACTCACAAGCACTTAGACAGGATGTCAAAGGCGGAAGTCTGTTTGATTCTACTTTATCTAAACATTTCAATTTTCCAGTTATTAATAGAAGACTGAATCTCAGAAAGAGAAGTCAACTTCTGTCCTTAAGGTCACACAGCTTCTTAAGAGCAGGCTAGGACTAGAGCCCTGGTTTCCTGACCTCTGCCCTCATGTCCTTTTAATCAATATTGATGCCCGGGAGCCCGGACTTGAAAACAGCTATTGTTATCAGTTGCACTCATTTTAATCTGTGCTCATTGTTACTGCCCTATTCTTTTGGAAAGTGCAAGCAGAAAAATATATTTAAATTCATTTTAAAAAGTCCCTTTTGGACGGGAGTCTTATATAATACAATCTATTCATGCTCAAGGTAAATTCCACCAGAAAGGGACATTTGCAAAATACTTGCCATTTGCTCATTAAGCAAGTTTTGTATTTCCAGGGAAATTTGATTGCACAGTACCACATCTGATTCTTGAAGCAAGAGATTCACCTTATCTCTGTGCCCAAATTTTTCCTCATTATGAAATAAACACCTGACTCTGGATTGAATTGTGTAAGCACTAGGATTGCCATTTACTGATGATGTCTTCATGACCTAAAGCCAGTTCAGTTAATCGCTCTGAATGTTTAGTAGCATATTTTGCATGACAGGATTTTTGACTGGTTTCAAAAATTTTAATTTCAGATAATTTGGTTCCATATACTTACAGCTAGAACCAAGTGTCGATTATACTGAAGCCTTAAATGCTCAGGGCTAAGGAAATACTGGTTCATTAAGACCAAACCTTAAATTATAGAAAAAGTTAGGAGAAAAGAAAGAAAATTATAGAAGATAGTGACACCTTCTATTTCTACAAGTAATAAATTTTCCTGGAAAATTTGTGAGGAAGGGGAAAATACATTTGCCTTCCATTTTCCCTTACCCTTACTTTTGTTTTCTTTCTTTTTCTTTCCATCATCCTCTGAAAACATAACACTTTTGGATGGGCAGGGAAACATGACCAGGCAAAATGACACAAGGGTTTTGAACCTGGTGACCTGAAAAATGATGATGTGAATAGAAATGGGGAAGTGAGGGGGTTGAACTGAGTGTGTGTGTGTATGTCCGCACACATGTTCAGAGCTTGTAGACAGGTAAAGAAAAGGAGAGAGACGAATTCATTCTTGAATTTATTGAGCGTGAACAAGGAATCATTTCCATGGAGCTGTCCAGTAGCCAGTAAGAAAAATCTGCTAAATCTGTTAAGTAAGGTCAACTCTTTGTTGGATAAATGACCAAAAAGAAAAAAGAAAAACAGTTTACTTTAGATCCTAATTATTATTCATTGCCTGTAAAAGTGCAAGCAAATGTATAGTTTCTGCACAGAAGGGTAATCACTAATGACTGATGTTATCTTTAGACTCCTTTTACTTTTCTTGTGGTTCTGTGTAATGCCAGAGAGTATGATGGGTCTTTTTCAACTATAAAGCTGCACAGGCCATTTCTCTGCACGATTGCTGATGCGACCATCACAGTTACTTCCCAGGAGACTACCACAAGAAGACCAATAAGCTCACAAAGAATATTCTTTCTCTTTCATGAATCCAGTGCTTTATTACTAAAATAGAAAGTGAGAAAGAATTAAAATTCCCTAGGAAAATTTTCCAACATCTCACAATACTTCTTTCTGTTAAAACCCAGTGATGTCATAAATTTCTCCCTTCCACATATATGACCGTGTAGTTAAATTTGGGGTTGAGAATAATCTTTTATTTCTCATTAGTCAATCCACCAATGATTACATGCTTCTCAGAAGCAATAAAAAAAACTTCACTTTGGGGGAAGATCATCATAGAAAATCACCTAATTTTTAGACATCTTTCTTTAGAATGGCTGTTTTCTTTTTTTTCTTTTTCTTTTTTTGTTTTGTTTTATTGAGTCAGGCTGAGTTGGAAAACAATAGAAAATTTGGACAATTATGTGAAATTCATATTCCAAACTTCACTTTTTCTTCGAGTACTAGCTATTTCATGTAGAAGTGTATTTTTCACCCACATGATGTGTATATTTAGCTTGATTTCCTTCACTTCACAATAACCTAACCTATGAATGGGGTCTTGGCAATGTAACAATGGCAATGTTTGTAAAATGCTATTTCCTGGGTCACTTTCTCCTATTTTAAGCTTAGTATTATGTCGAACGACAAAGATATTCAGTAAACAATTTGTGATGGTGAAATTGGTCATTAATTGGAAGGACAGTACAAATAATATTTGTTCCCTCCAAAATAAGATTCTTTGCTTTGCTAAAAAATTGTACTTATGGCCGGGCGCTGTGGCTCAAGCCTGTAATCCTAGCACTCTGGGAGGCCAAGACAGGAGGATTGCTGAGCTCAGGAGTTCAAGACCAGCCTGAGCAAGAGCGAGACCTCGTCTCTACTAAAAATAGAAAGAAATTAGCTGGACAACTAAAAGTATAAAGAAAAAAGTAGCCAGGCATGGTGGCGCATGCCTGTAGTCCCAGCTACTCGGAAGGCTGAGGCAGGAGGATCTCTTGAGCCCAGGAGTTTGAGGTTGCTGTGAGCTATGATGATGCCACAGCACTCTAGCCTGGGCAACAGAGTGAGACTCTGTCTCAAAAAAAAAAAAAAAAAATTATACTTACGCTTCCCAGACAAAGTCTGGATGAATGGTAATATCTACTCCCACCCCAGTATCCTCATAGTTCTAGGAAGAAGTGTGATGCTTTATATGAGAAAAACAATAAGGAACTTTTATTGACCTTCTTAGGTCAGTATTGCTGGGACAAATCTTGCATTCCAAACGTATTTTTCTGTAAATTTTTAATAAATTTTGCCTGGGTACAAATGGCACTCATCATGCCAAAATGGCAGGACATAATCTTATCACAACATCCTTACCTAACAGACACTTAAAGCCTGGACACTCTTGCCTGGAGCTGTTTTTGTTTTGTTTTGTTTTGTTTTATTTTTTCTATTCCCCTCTCTAACATCTGAATAAACCCAAGGGGGCTTAGGTGACCCAAATTTTCAGTTTCAGTCTATGAGTGGGGAACACCTCTAGGAGTCAAGA